TGGTCAACATTTGATAAATAATGTTCATTCATTCAGGCATTTATTAAATTATTAATTCATTCACGCACTCATTCACTCGTTCATTCATTTTAACAACATTTATGAGGTTTTAACTGAGAGCAGCAACTTCAGGAATTTTCGACAAGTTCCAATCTTCGATCATTCAGGCCAAACTCCATATAATAAATTCCTAGAGCAAATTTAAAGCTAAATCTTAACACTCGAAGTTAAATACATGTTCGAAACATCTTAGACATCCCATTTTTATTCTGTCGAGTTTTTAAATGCAGTGAAAAACGAAATTTAGTATATATCATCCACTTATACATCTTATTTGCAAAGAATTTCATTTTTAGGTCGGCAGTACATTTCAAGTTGTTATTACTTCATTTGAATTCATCACCTACGTCTCGTTTCTGTATGAAAAAGTGACTTCCAACAGCGGACAGGTATGAATTTTGTGGTAACAATGCAGCACTTTGCGTTACATCCGTGACTAATATTAATACTTTGTTCCTGATTATTAAGAACTGAAGTGACGTGTTCGATTCCGCTCTAGGGTAATCTTTGTTTTGTTCTCAAATTCCCTTGAGCAAGGAATTTAGATTCAGGTTGCTCAGTCAGTCGAGCGTCGAACTCGGAATGGATAGGTCCTGACTTCAAATCCTTTCTCAGGGTCACTCGACTTTCTACCTTCTGAAGCTAATAAATGGGTACCACTTTGTTTGAAGGAAACAGAAGACTGCAAGCTGTGCCTGCCACATGGCCGTAGACTCTGCCATGAAAATATTTCTGGCTGATGGCGTAAAAGCGGAGATCAGCATCGCTCCATCAATTTCACAAAAGTTCAACAAATTAGCCTAATCACAAAATTAAAGAAAGACCAACAATCCAGAGGTAATAAACTTTCCGTTTCTTTTTGCTGTTATGCACTAATATGTATTGAGTGCAGTCCGTTATTTGAACTTCTTTCGATTGATTGTGCAAAAGCTAAAGGTTCTAGTCACGAAATTGCATGAAGTCAATAAAATTTTACAATTATGATTATGTTATATTAAAAGTAATCGTGAGATTAAAGCCTAGCAATCGCAACGACAAGTACCCTCTGTTGAGATGACGTGAATGTGTGGGAAGGGGAATGTCATCGTTAGTTGTGCTTTGTGGCATGATCGTAATACCTAATCAAATGATGTTCGCTGGGCAGCAGGCGAGGAAGTAATTATGGGCATATTTTATTGCAACCTCGAAGGAAGTACTCTTAACCTATCTGCTTGAACTTCTCCGTAAATCAGGGAATT